GCAGGGATGAGTCAGAAAGAAAAGCCGTTGGAGATAGAACATAAAACCTCCCGATGAGCCCTGCAAAGGTTACACAAAATTTCCTGTTTCCTCAGTGGCCTGTCCTCCAGAAAAGTTTATCAAAAGAGCTGTAACAGAAAAAGGAATGAAGCTGCCTGTTCCGTCTCCAGACAAAAGTCGCTTCATCTGAGAAAGGGAAGGGGCGGGGGGAAGGGAGGAGAAATGACCCAAACATTGTATGCACATATGAATGAAAGAAAAAAAAAAACAGTCGCCTGATCTTAGTCACTGAAATCCTTTCAGCAGATTCTAAATATGATCATGAATGCCCACCTCCTTCCCACCAGCACCCAGCCTAAGTGCATTAGTGTTTCTAAAGTGCTCCAGATGCAGGATGTTGTATTTGTGTCTGTTGTTTTTACTCAGACTCACAAAATCTGACATCCTTTCTGTTGACTCACCTTTCAGTACACACTGCTGACCTTGTTATTCAATGTTCCAATAGATGCCTGCTTGGATACCTTAACTCACTAGAGAAATGGAAACCATGTGCATTTGAAAGGATGGGGTAGCAGTGAGGAGGTATTAAGGACGGCCTAGCCAAGTGTTTTTCCAATATGAATGTCCGGAAGGACACAAAATCTGGGTTCTGGCATGCAAGTGATATATCTTAGAGATGAAAGCCTCCTAAAGTAGTTTTAGGAACTCCCACCCAATACCCTCTATTCTACTTTCTTACTGCTAGTAAATCTAGGAAGCCCCACCCAGGACAAAAAGAGGAGGTGGACTCTGTAACTATGTAACAACCTAAATAGTAGCAAGTTGCAATCACATATCCACTTCCAAATTTCCAAAATTGAATTCAAATTTGACTGATTACTACAGGGAACTAATTGCAAAACAGGAGATGAATTTTTCCTTTGCTTCATTCTGTTTGTGCTTCTCTCATCTCTGGGCCTACATTATCTTCCTCAGTAATTTTCAGCTAGCATACCAATGTCCAGTTCCAAAGTTGAGTGAGCAAGAGTATTTCATACATGGATCTCCACCTGCTTCTACCTTGGTGGTGCTTGATGAGGTGATGCTGTAAGAGGCAAGCTCTGCAAATTCTGAGGGGTGCATCTAGTACTCCTGGCATTCATTGATCATGTCACTTGCTGTACAGCCAGGTCTTTCAGCAGCTAACATTGTAAGCATCACCCATTGTGGAAAGTTGTTTGAAGCCTGAGGAAGGATACAGTGAACCCAAAGTGGTGAAGAAGCAGTGATTTCAATCAGCAGATTGCCCAGATTAGGGGTAGGGCAGTTGTCAGCAAACTACAGCTGGCAGGCCAAAGTTGGCCCCACTGCCTGTTTTTATAGCTAAAGTTTTAACAGAGTACAGCCATGCTCATTCGTTGATGTATTATTCATGACTGATTTTGTGCTACAGTAGCAGAGTTGAGTAATTACAACAGAGACTGTATGATCTATAAAGTCTAAAATATTTACTAATCTGACCCTTTATGGAAGAAGTTTGCCAACTCCCGACCTAGATGAAGAAAGGACCAGTTTTGACAATGATTTGGAGACAATATTTACCTAGATCTGTGCAATCTAAGGTGGGAGACAGTGCTAGGAATAGGATTATTTCAGAAATTCAACCATAACTTTCTAATACGAGATTACTGCAATTTAGGTAACTAGCACATATATAATCTATGTCACTCTATACAGTAAGTAAAAAGAACTTCTAAATGTAAAGGTGAATTTCACATAACCTGCTCTGGCAGATTAGTTTCTTCTTAGGTTTTTTCTGTGGTACCAGGGGTTGAACCCAGGACCTCACACGTACCAGGCAAGCACTCTACCACTTGAGTCACATCCCCAGCCCTCAGATTAGTTTTAAACTAGAGCTCAAATGTTACTCCCAATATTTGAGGCCTGAAAATTGCCACATCTAAGATCTTAACTTTGAACTTCATCTCTTCCCCTCTAATTTTTTCAGAACAACCCTTATTCAACACTGACTAGACTTTTACTCTGTCAGACCCTGGGTTACCCACTAAAGCAAAAAAAGCTTACACTTGGGCCTAGTCACACAGGAGGCTATTTCAAGAAAGAGATTATCCTAAAAACCACAAGGGATATTTGTACTAGTTCTTGCAGTTGAACAGGTTTTTAGGGAAGGGAGCAGTGCTGGGACTCAAACCCAGGGCCTCAGACATGCAAGGCAAATGCTTTACCACGGAGCTACACTCAGCCCCAGTTGACCAATTTTATTCTGCTCTATTCTACCAGAAGATGCAATGAAAAGACCCTGCTTAGATTGTGCTCTTCCTAAAAGTGGGTTATGGAACTTATATCTCTAAGGCAGAGTCTATGATAGACATCAGGAGGTCTGTGATTTTGGACCAAAAATATTATATGCTCATTTCACTAATCGTTAAAGGAAGCACATTTCTTTCAGTTATGAATCTGAGTCACAGCAATAACAGTAAATGTAGCGGATGGGTAGACTTTGCCACCAATGGGATATTTGCTACAAGTGTCTTAATAATTGCTATACCCGTGACCACTTTAAAGTTATTAGTTATAAAACCTACTGACAGACATTAAACATTGCTTACTATGTGAATAAGCACATTTAGTGCTATATCACGCAAAACATTTTGATAACTGTATTTCAATATAATTGGCTTCCTTTATAATTCTATGTATTTTATTTTTGCATATAAAAACATTATTCCCAAAAGAGACTTCACAAGTTTTCATCATACCACCAAAGGGGTTGGGACACACAAAAAAGATAAAGATCCCTATTCTAGGGCCAAAAAGTAAGCAAATACAATCACATCTAAGGTACATTAAAAAAAAAAAAAAAAAACTACCCCGTTTTCTGTTAAGGGTCATGCACGCATAATATTCTCAAGTCTACAATAAAGACCATATGCCACTATTTTTAGCAGCCCTAACTTCAAAAGTGCTTTGCAAATAGTTGTGAATGTGATATAACAGCCTTGTAGATCTACAGGTTTCCCTGGCTCATTGGCAGTCATCCTAGTGCAAACACTGAAAGCCTTAAACTAATACAACTTTTAACTTATGATTACAAGAAAGTTACCAAAAGAAAGGGAGGAGACATAAAACACTTATATACCTCTTACTAATCTGGTTTGCAAAACATAAAATACAGACAATTTAATTATTTAGGAAATCTAAAACAAGTGAAAGAAATAATGCTTCCCAAAATCACAGAGTGAATTAATGTTAACATTCCATAAAGTAACCTGGGACCTCCAAATCCAAGGTCCATGCAACTAGACCATTCTCCTTAAGGGATCACATACTCAAAGAGGAGCTCCCAAAGAAGAAAACTCCACCTATTTATGCAAGGAGAAAATTTACGGTGAGAGGGAAATAAAGCCCAGTCTTTATCAATCAAATCATTGTACTGGTTTTGAAAGAGAATGTGTGAAGCAGCCCTAGCTCAAAAAGAATCATTTCATTCCATCAACACAAAGGACCAGAGAAAAAGTAATGCAATCTCTGGGCCTAAGTGTCTCCTCTTTTATGGTCTGCTGCCTTAAAGCATATATTCATATATATATATGAATATGTATATATTCTCTTGAGGCCAGGCATGGTGTTTCATGCCTGTAATTGCAACTACTTTGGGAGACAGAGATCAAGAGGATTGTGGCAAGGTCTGCTCAGAAAAAAAGTTATTCTGATTCTAATCTCAACAAACAAGTTAGGTGTAGTGTGATCTCAGCTATTTGGGAAGCACAGGTAGGAGGATCAAGGTCTGAGGCTGACCCCAGGCAAAAGCAAGACCCTATCTGAAAAACAATTAAAAATAAAAATCTTGAGTAGTTTCTTTTAGTTACATAAAATATAAGTCAAGATCCACTGTTCTGGAAAAAGATGTAACTGGCCATTTTTAGCTAAACACAGGCTCTTCCCCATCACTCCCAACTCATTCCCATTTAAGAATCTTTCACCTATTACAAAGTATATAAGGAGCAGGGATGATAGGTAATCAGCTCACTACTGCATGTGATAAGTAAATTGACCTTAAGCTTCTATTAGATTTTTTAAAGCACTGGGTAAGTAGCACAGTCAGTAGCACCTTCTACAAAGGGCTATGAGAGGAGGAGTATAACACTCATTTCTGAAACACATTTTATAAAATAATACTCTTACTACACTGAAAATTTCTATCCTATTCCATTTTTTAAACAATTTCAGGTGCCAACGGTAGGATGGAACCCATATACAGTTTGGATATATTAATCTAGTCCAAACTTACCATTCACTGACACAGAAACTCAGTGGTAAGTAAATTTCCCCAGCCACAAGAAGTTTGCCCATAAAATTAAACTCTGGTCCAAGTCCCAGACCAGTGTGCTTTCCACTAAAGACTTTCTCTGTCCAGCCGGCGCTGTAACATGAATGGCTCATGTCTGTAGTCCCAGCTATTCGGAAGGCGGAGATTGGGAGAAAGACAGTTAGAGGTCAGCCTGGGCAAAGTTAGCGAGACCACATCTCAATACAGAAGCCGGGGGTAGTGGTGCATACAGTAATCCCAGCTATTCGGGAGGCGTAGGAAGGTGGGCCCAGGTTAAAAAAAAAAAAAGACCTTATCAGAAAAAAAAAAAAAAAGGCAGGGGGGTGTGGCTCAAGTGGTAGAGCGCCTCCCTAGCAAGCTCAAGACCCTGAATTCAAACCCCGATATAGCAAAAGAAAAAAAGAAAAGAAAAAGCTCCTTACCCATTCAGTCACTTAATCACACTCTATACTCAAACACAGCGCTACAGCGCCATCCCCAAAACTGATCCTTCTCCAAGTCAGGCCCTCAAAGTCACCGCTCCTCGGTCAGAGTGCCCTCGCAGCTGCTGCTCCATAGTCCCTTCGGTCAGCGTCCCCTCCCAGTCACTCACTATCCGCCGGTCACTCTCCCTGGAGTCATGGCCCCGTGGTCGCTGTCCCCTTGCACTCACTGCGTCCTACTTCCTCACCCGCTTCGTACTTATGCTCCTGTGTCGCAGACCCTTCACAGGCAGCTACACCTGAGTCACAGTCCCTTCGCTGTCATCAGACCTCGGTCACAGTAGTCTTGCAGCTCCGGCTTCACACTCCCCTCGCTGTCACTGACCCATTCTTCAGTGTCCTCGGGTCCCAGCCCTCAGTTTGTCTTCTCAAACACAGCCGCAAGCATATGAACACCCTAGGTTCTCACCAGCAGCTCACGTTCCCCGGCCCCGGTCCCGTCGGATTTCTTCCCCGCGCCGCGTCACCGACTAGAGAAGTTGGAGAGGTTGCGGGGAGACGCCCGGGGACGCAGCTGACGGAACAGCGGGCCGGAAGTCCCGCCTACCGCCCGCCTCTTCCCAATCCGGCCACGACTGCCCCCTGAAAACTACGACCTCTGACACACTAGTTCCGCTTCCACGGGGCCCGCGGGGGTGGAGTGGCGGAGCAAATACCAGAGGCAGAAAGGCAGAATGTCCAAGGGTCAGCGTCCACCCCGGAACCAGAGTGTGTAGTAAAGACGCCTCTCCTTAGAGGGCTAGGAGGTGCACCGCCATACGTTCTCGCTGCAGCCCGTCAAAAAGCGTTACCCGGCCGGCGGGCCTTCCCACATAGGCCAGCGCCCAGGGACATTTGGGGACACCGCACCCGGCCTTCACATGCAGGTGGCCGCGCCTTCCACGGCTTTGACCACCTGATGCTGGAAGGAGAAGTCATGTCCCCCAAGCCAGCCCGGGGAAGGCCTTCTCTGCCAGGCCCTTTGTTCCCGTTGTTTGTGACCCGGGAACAGAGTCACCAGAGATGGCCCCTGGGACTCAAGAAGGGACTTAAGAACGCGGGGGGGAAACGAGGAGCGGGCGCGTGGGCCAGGCTCTGGAGGGGTCGTTTTGGATTCTGTAGCTGGAAGGCAAGTAGATACACGAGGTTATGGGAGGGGATGTGAATGGATCTTTTAATGTATTACTGCATTTAATGTACTTTTACCTTTGTGTGTGTCCTCACGCTTGATTGGAAAGCAGATGAGAAGAAAGAGTGGGTAAACTTGTACAAGGAGGAAAAGAATTTAAATCGGAACCCCTCCTTTTGAGTTTCAAATGGGCATTCGAACATTGCTGACAAAGAGCCCCAAATAAGGACAGCTGGCTGAAGAAGACACCAGGCCTCTGAGAAGATTATTACAAAGATACTAGGAGCTTGGGTAGTAGCCAATATAGGAATCTCTGGCTCTCAAGGGAGTTCTAATTTAATACTCAGCCAGAAACATCTCAGCCCCTGACCCTGGACAAACCCTGGAAAAATGGATGTGTTTTTAGGAGAATAAGCTGTGTGAGCCATCGGTGAGAGACATAAAGGCAGCAATTCGAAGTACAGGGAAAAACTTTATGCACAAATAAATTTATCTCATTTTTATAATAGTCCAAAATTCCCTCAATAAGCAAATAGCGAAAATAACAATGATACAACTTATCAATAACAATGATGGAATAAATGCATCTATTAAACTATGCAAAAAAGTATAATGCAAGTAAAATGACATAAAAACTGCTTATGAGAAGTGAAAAGAACTCGAGTACAACATTGTATGTATGATTTTTTTAAACCATGAAAATAAAAATACACTGGTAGAAAATACACCAAAATATTTACAGTTCATATGTCTGAACAATTGAAATGAATTTTCCTGTATTTTCCTCTGCTTTCCAAATATAACAAGAACATACTATAACAACATCAAAACATTAAAAATATAAGGCCTACACAACAGATTCTAGTTGCCAACATGCCAATTTATCTTTATTTTATTAAGATATTTAACAATATAAAAATATCTTTTTCCAGCTTTTTCATCGTTGTATCTTAAGATTTCCAGCTTTTTCAAAGATTCAGTAGTAGAAACACCCAAATGCTGCTACAACACAGAATAAACTGTCCTAGAAAACAAGATGGAAAACACACATAAAAATCCAGCATGTTAGTACTAATGAGGGAGTAAGGGAAGCACAGCCCATTGAAATCAACACTGTCCCAGGTATTTGTCAATTTCCTTCAGCCTCCCAAATAGGCTTCATGATGGCTCTGTAAATTTTCTTCAAGAAAAGGGTTTCCAGGCTTCCAATGTATAGCTATAAAGTTGCTATAGGGTACTATTTTCCTAAGGGTAACTACAAAATTGGCTTGCTAAAATGAAGATGAAGAGTGACAGAGGCACCTGATAGGCTGGACATAATCAAAGCAAGGTATAAATGGAAATGTGGCAACCCACTAATATGTACAGTTAATTTGCATTAGTAATTATAATATGGGAGGCTGAGGCAAGAGGATGGAGAGTTCAAAGCTCGCCTGAACCACATAGTGTGACTCTTATCTCAAAAACAAAAAATTGTAAGTAAAAAAAAGTTAAGCAAAAGGGTAAGCTGGGTGCCAGTTGCTCACGCCTGTAATCCCAGCTACTTGGGAAGCTGAGATTGGGAGGATCTCAGTTTGAGGATAGCCCAGGTAAATAGTTCATAAGACCCCTATCTCCAAAATAACCAGAACAAAATGAACTGGAGACATGGCTCAAGCTGTAGAGCACCTGCTTTGCAAGCATGAAGTCCTGAGTTCAAAACTCCAGTCCCACCAAACAAGTTAAAAAGAACAATAGTTCCATGTCATAAATTCTGGATGGGGGAAATAGTCTCTGGGTGTTTCCTCCTAATTGAGGAAATTAATTTGTCCATCTTTTAGTAGCACTGAAGTTCGAACTCGGGGCTAGGCATTGCTCTACCTCTTGAGCCAATCTAACAGCCCTTTTGTTTTTGTATTTATTTTGTTGTTATTATTATTTATCTTTTATTCCTATGTGCATACATTTCTCCCCCCGTCCCCCCACCTCCTCCCTCTCCCCCGCAGCACCCTTGCTTCCAGGCAGAACCTCTTTTGCCCTCTTCTCCAATTTTGTTGAAGAGAAGACATAAGCAATAATAAGAAAGATATATCTGGTGGAGTGGCTCAAGTGGTAGAGTGCCTACCTAAAAGCATGAGGCCCTGAGTTCAAACCCCAGTACCACCAAAAAAAAAAAAAAAGATGCCGAAGAAACAGCGTTTTTGCTAGTTTGAGATAAGGATAGCTGTACAGAGAGATTCCTAGCATTGCTTCCATGCACATGTGTATTACAACCGGAACTGATTCATCTCTACCAGACCTCTTCAGTACTTCCCGATCACCTTCCCACAGTGGCCTCTGTCAGTTTAAGATTACTATATTAGCTCTTCTACAGTGGGCACATCAAATGCTTTCAAGTTTTGGGTTTCCTAACCTTTCCCTATTCCTCCTGTATGTGTTCTCCTCTTAGCATGTGACCCATGTCCAATAATATTACTGCATTTGTTTTAGGTCCAAAGTCCACATATGAGGGAGAACATATGATTTTTGCCCTTCTGAGCCTAGCTAACTTCACTTAAGATGATGTTCTCCAGTTCCATCCCTTTAGTTGCGAATGACAAAATTTCATTCTTCTTCATGGCTGAGTAAAATTCATTGTGTATAAATACCACATTTTCTTAATCCAGTTGTCAGTAGGGGGGCATCTTGGCTGTTTCCATAACTTGGCTATTGTGAATAGTGCTGCAATAAACATGGGTGTGCAGTTGCCTCTGGAGTAACCTGTGTCACATTCTTTTGGGTATATCCCCAAGAGTGGGATTGCTGGATCATATGGGAGATCTATGTTTAGTTTTTTAAGGAGCCTCCATATTGTTTTCCACAGTGGTTGCATTCCCATCAGCAGTGTATGAGGGTTCCTTTTTCCCCAAATCCTTGCCGATATTTGTTGCTGGTGGTATTTTTGATGTTAGCTATTCTAACGGGTGAGGTGGAATCTTAATGTGGTTTTGATTTGCATTTCCTTTATGGCCAGAGATGGTGAGCATATTTTCATGTGTTTTTTGGCCATTTGGATTTCTTCTTTTAAAAAAGGTCTGTTTAGTTCAGTTGCCTATTTCTTCATTGGTTCATTGATTTTGGGGAAGTTTAGTTTTTTGAGCTCCCTGTATATTCTGGTTATCAGTCCTTTGTCTGATGTATAGCTAGCAAATATTTTCTCCCACTCTGTGGGTGTTCTCTTCAGTTTAGAGACCATTTCTTTTGTTGTGCAGAAGCTTTTTAGTTTTATGAAGTCCCATTTGTCTATGTTTTCTCTTAGTTGCTGGGCTGCTGGGGTTCTATTGAGAAAGTTCTTACCTATACCTACTAATTCCAGAGTATTTCCTACTCTTTCCTGTACCAACTTCAGAGTTTCAGGTCTGATATTGAGGTCCTTGATCCATTTTGAGTTGATACTAGTACAGGGTGAAAAACATGGATCTAGTTTCAGTTTTCTGCAGGCAGATAATCACTTTTCCCAGCAACATTTGTTGAAGAGGCTATTTTCCATTGTATGTTTTTGGCGCCTTTGCCAAAAATAAGGTGGGTATAGTTGTGTGGATTCATATCCAGGTCCTCTATTCTGTTCCACTGGTCTTCATATCTGTTTTTGTGCCAATACCATGCTGTTTTTTATTGCTATTGCTTTGTAATACGGTTTGAAGTCGGGTATATTGTGATACCTCCAGCATTGCTCTTACTGCCTTGGCTATTTGGGGTCTCTTGTGTTTCCAACTGAACTTTAGGGTAGATTTTTCAATCTCTGTGATGAATGTCATTGGGATTTTTATGGGAATTGCATTAAACATGTAGATTGCTTTTAGTAGTATAACCACTTTTACTATGTTGATTCTACCAATCCATGAGCACAGAAGATCTTTCCATCTTCTGTAGTCTTCCTGAATCTCTTTCTTCAGAAGTTTGTAGTTCTCCTTGTAGAGGTCGTTCACATCCTTTGTTAAGTTTACTCCTAGGTATTTAATTTTTTTTTGAGACTAATGTAAATGGAATTGTTTTCATGTATTCTTTCTCAATTGGTTGATACACAGAAAAGCTAATGATTTTTGTAAGTTGATTTTGTATCCTGCCACACTGCTGAAGCTGTTTATGGTGTCTAGGAGTTTTTGAGTAGAGTTATGCCATCTGTATACACACAAGTCTCCTTGTCATAAAAGCACACTGGGTTTCTGCTTTACTAACACAAAAACTAACAGTAACATTACCTCATCCAGAGGAGGTCTAAGATGAATGTCTGAATGTAAAGTGACCTCCTTCTTCTTTTCTTTTTTTTTTAATTTTCTTTTTTCTATATTTTTTCTTTTTGTGAACTTCCATCTTTAAAAAAGTATTAAGTAGTTTGATCTAGAAAGGAAAAAAAGGTTTCTAAAGAGACTTACATTCATGAAAACATCGTGAATGTAGTTGTCAGTATCAGCATCCCAGAAACATCGAGCAGCCATGCTAAAAAAAGTCAAAGAACAAAGAATTTTCAACAAAATTACAAGCAGCTGAACTACATGTACCTGCTACAAGTAAAAGTTTTCCTTCATAGAATCTTATAGAACAGTGCTTCCGAACTTTTTCCCGGGTTGGCAAACAGAGAAAATCACATTTGCACAGCAGAGTATGCTGGGTAACCTGGAGGGACAGAAGCATTAGGTAAGGCCGCTTGTAGCTACAGGTGACTAACCTAGGGGTTCTAGCAGCCTCAAACCCCAACTAGCTGCCTGACAACTACAGGGATCAGTATCTTGAAGCCTTTGGCACTCTGGGTGGAGCTCAGGGATAGATGACTTACTGAGGCACTTGGTGTGACTTTCAATGGGTTCAATTCCTGTGTAATAACGAAGAAAGGTCTGCAGGAAACCATCTGATCATTTTCTATAGTCCCAGAAAAGAAAGGGACAAAAGGAAGTAGAATTGAATCTTTTAACTAAATCTAGTATTATCTCTATAAGATCTGTGTGCCTCCTACATGCTCAAATTGCATTTTGCCCTCCCCAGTTACATTAGTCAAAATAAAAGCAATTTAAAAATGGGAATAAATACCCAGGAGGACTAGATTAGTAAATGAAATTATGGTATTTTTCAGGCAATGAAACTCTATGTAGCCATTAAAAAGAGGTTTTAAAACAACCAAAAAAACCCTCAAAATCATGAAAAGATGTTCAAAATCTAATGTTAAGTGAAAAAAAAGCAATTGTAGATGTCATATATTTTTTAAATGTATGCAACTCCCAATTAAGTGAAGGAAAAAACACTATAAAAGCTCATTTAGAAATTATTAGGATAAAAAGATTATAAGGCCTATCTAGTGTAAGCTTCCTAGTTTTACAGTATTTGAAACTTATAGAAGTACTACAAACTTCTAAACTACAAATATTTAGAAGATTTAAGAAGAGAAAAAAATCAAAGAAGAATTTAGAAGAAAGTAGTACCTAAACTAATAGATACCAAGAGAATGCATCAATATAAAAACTTATTTAACAAACATTTGTTGAGTTCTATTACAACAAAGTGCTAGGTATAAATGATAACAAAAATGCATAAAACAATCCTTGCCTTTAAATCTGAGGTCTCTTTACACCATTTCCCAGTAAAAGGAACTCTAGGGCTCCTTGCCAAAATGGCACTCCAAGCCTAGGGCTGGAAATGTTTTAGATAAACCTGCATCACATGAGTCAGAAAAAATCTGGTCCATACCAGGAAGAGTACCATATTTACATACATGCCCACATGCACGCGCGCACACACACACACACACACAAAAGTTATGTCAAAAGGACTGAAAAGATGTGCAATAGAAGAATTTGTAGCAGGCTAATACATTTCACTGAGATCAGTTAGGAAATCTGGTCAGAAAGTCAGAAAGCTATTAAAGCAAACAGACCTAAAGGGGCAAAATTCCATTAAGAAGTGAATCTGCTATTCCACAGATTTTTTTCTCAATGTCTTTGCCAATTCTGGACACAGGGCAAGAGGCTAAGAATCTTGGCTTTGCCTGTGTAGAAGACCAATTACTGAGAAAACAAAACAAAATCCGAGCAAGACTATTGGTAGTCTCACAGGGGCGGAGATAAAATGGGGATCTGGAAGGACCAATATCCCTATAAAACAGGACTGAGTAGAACTGAACCTGTCACATGGCAGGTTTTCTCTTCTGATGTGATGAATTCTGAAATTGGATAAGCAGAAACCTAAAAGGCTATGTATGGTTGTGTGGTAGACAAAATAATGGGCCCACAATACATCTATGTTCTAGCCCCAGAACCTGTCAGTGTGTTATGTAACATGGCAAAAAAATGTATTTTAGAGCTGTACATAGTGATGCATGCCTGTAATCCCAGCACACAGGAGGTTGAGGCAGGAAGATCAAGAGTTCAAGGCCAACCTGGGCTACATGGCAATACCCTATCTCACAAAGTCAAAAATAATAATTAAAAGTTAAGGATTTTAATATGGAGAGATTGTCTTGGATTATCCAGGTAGGTCCAGTGCAGTCCTCAGAGTTATAAAAGATAGAGGGGGCTGGGAGTGTAGCTCAGTGGTAGAGTGCTTGCCTAGCATGACTGAGGCCCTGGGTTCAATCCAATACTGAAAAGAAAAAAAAAAAGCAGGGGGGAGTCAGGGACAGGTTTGGAGATGCTATGAAGCTGGCTCTGAAGATGGAGGAAGATCTTATGAGCTGGATAATACAGGTGAATTCTAGATGAAACAGGCAAAGGAGTAGATTCTCCTTAGAGCCTCCAAAAGGAATGGAACCTTGCTGACACCTTGGTTTTATCTCAGTGAAATCCATTTTGGATTTCTGACCTCAGAACTGTAAAATACTGTATGTGTGCTACTTTAAGCACTGGGTTTGTGACAATGATACATAGCAATAGGAACGAGTACAGCAAAGGGAAAGCCTATGAAATGAAGAGCAAAGCCTCATGAGGAGACAGGACTAAAAGTACTTGCTGGGGATGGGGTTCCAAAGAACACTGCAGGTTCCTGGTTGAAAGGCCTGGAGAGCTGCAAACATGAAAGAAGGGAGACATCCACACTTGGTCGCACATGCCTGTCATCCCCAGCACTCGGGAAGCTAAGGCAGGAGGATCACAAATTCAAGGCCACCCTGGGCTACCTTTTCTCAAAAAAAAAAAAAAATCCCAAACAACAACAAAATTATTCTAAAAGTTTATAAAAATAAAAAAGATAATGGCTCAGAGAATTTTCCCAAATGGATTTAAAACACCCACCCACAGATTCGAGAGGCTCTGGGAAACCCAGGAAGAACTACAAAGAAAACCAGTTAGAGAAAAAGACAAAAGAGACACACATTTTAAAGTGGCTACAGAAAAAGATACACCACTCTCAAAAGAATAACAACTAGACTTACAGTTGAACTTGCAACAGAAAGGAGGGAAACAGAAGGCAACGCAATCACTTTGTGAACACATTTGTGGTGAAAACACAAAAACCCCTCCTCCCCTTTCCTTCTCTCTTTCCCCTACAGAATGTGAATGCAGTACTGAGCCATGTTCAACTATGTAGACAAATTCAGCAGAGCAACAAGACAGAACAGTTTCTATCTTGAAGACCAGTGAAGCACTATACCAGGCTGGAACTCTCACCTGATATGTTTTGAGAAGAAAAATAAAGCCCCTGTTTTGTTTTTAAAAAAAAAAAATAATAAGTTAAAAAAAATCATAAGTTAACTTGAAGAAGCTACCAATAGGACAATTTAAGTATCAGTGAAGATAGTAATTATACTCATTCTTTTTTTTTTTTTTTTTTGGTGATACTGGACCTCGAACTTAGGGCCTCACACTAGGCAAGCACTGTGCCACTTAGTAGAGTCTGTTACAGTGGATTTAAAACACTAGTATATTTAAAACCATGAGTTCATAAATGAGAAAAAACACATTAAAGGATGCTAGAGAACAAATTCACTATTCTAAAATTGTAAATTTGTCCCAAAGCCAATCATTTATTTTCATTTCCTGTACAAACTTTACCTTACCGAAATGAAACAAGTGAAAGAAAAATAAAGTCATTTTTTTTTTTTTTTTTTTTTTTTTTTTGGTGGCACTTGCTAGGCAGGTGTTCCCACTTGAGCCACTCCACCAGCCCTTTTTTGTGTATGTCTTGGGTATTTTTTGAGATAGGGTATCGATTTTTGGTCTGGGCTGGCCTCAATCCAGTATCCTCCTGATCTCTGCCTCCTGAGTAAGTAGGATTACAGGTGTGAGCCACCAGGACTTGGCCACAGCTGCATTTTGTTAAGCTGTTCTTTCTTCACACTCATGCAAAAACACAATCTTCCTGAATTATCAAGAGGATGAATACCTCATAAGAACACACAGATGAGCGCTGGTGGAATGGCTCAAGTGGTAGAGTGCCTGCCTAGCAAGTGTGAGGCACTGAATTCAAGCCCCAGTACAGCAAAAAATTAAAAGAATAAGATAAAATGAAATATCATCTAGTATTTGTAACAAATATACAAGATTGAATTTGGAAGAAAATATAAACTTTTTTAAAAAAGAAAACAGACAAATAAAAACAAGAAGGAAAAAAGAACTACTCACAATACTCCTTCACCTCTTTGCTCTCCAATCAGTACTTGTACCACTATTTTATACCGATCAAACCCCATTTCTAGGAAGAAAAAAAATAAAGTTATCTATAAGCAAATATGTAGTAAAATTACTTTGATGGCAGATTGTCCCAGAATTCAGTCCACAGATGCTTAATGAGTCTGATGGGAAGCTTGGGAGCCTGGGAGATCTGAGAATAGACCCTGACTGTACTTGACCAAGAGTAAAATATCAGAGAACATGTTTAACTTTCCCATTCAAGATTCCCTCCTCTGTTAAATGACAATATTGTGACATACCTGCCTGGCTTGTCATAAGGTTAGGTGAAATAAGGTATCAGAATACATAAAAGCATCTACAGTAGTACTGCCACATAACGGTCTTTTCTTTTTCCCCTACTCTAAGGCGGGTGCTAACGCAGGCCTTCAAATAAATACAGGAATAAAGACACTCTTTCCTTAGAGAATCATACTAGTAAAGAACTCAATGGCAGACAGAAAAAACCTACAGAAGTGAATATGCTAATAATTTGAGGAGTGGTATGTGTAAGGTGTATCAGAAGCACAGAGCTGAGCAATGGGAGAAGATGACCAGAAGACTGCATAGAGAACACATTAGATAAATGAGCTGAGTCTTAAAGGACAGGTAAGAATTTACAAGGTCACCGAAGTCTCTCCATTCTATGGAGAGGGAATAGCATATGCACAGGCATGAGCATGGAATCTTCAGAAAATTGTAAGATGTTCACTAAGGTAGAAAAGAAATGACAATGATGCTATCATCTGGGATACACTGGGGTGACCCACAACTCAACTACTGCCTCAACTGTACTGCTGAAGCAATGAAACCCTGAGAATTCACACTAATGTCCAATCTGGAGAGAAGAAAAATGATTGAACATCTTTATCTTCCCACTTTTCTGACCAGGGGATAATAGACAAAACAAAAATGAAAATAACAAAAGTAAGCTGGGACTGGTGGGACACGCCTATAATCTCAGAACTCAGGAGGCAGAGGCAGGAGGATCTTGAGTTGGAGGCCAGCCTGGGCTACATAGTATGAGCCCACTCAAAAAAAAAAAAAAAAGTGAACTGGGCAAACAGGGCCAATTCTGTCTGATGAAAGGAAAAGCTGCCAGATTATCTAATAAATTGGGCAATGTGGAGACTACAGCACCCTCCATGTGCAGCAGGAACCCTAATTCAAGACATTTAACAAAATCTCACAAGATAGACAGAGCCCAAGTTTTGTTTTGTTTTTCCTTGTACTGGGGCTTTAACTCAGGGCCTCTCATTTGCTAGGCTGGTGCTCTATCACTTGAGCACTGTTTTGTGATGGGTATTTTTGAGATAGGGTCTCAAGAACTATTTGCCCTCGCTGGTCTTGAATCACGATCCTCCTAATCTCAGCCTGCTGAGTAGCTAGGATTACAGGCGTGAGCTACCAGCTCTCCAAGTTATTTTTTAAAACACTGCAGGGCTGGTGGTATGGCTCAAGTGGAGAATGACTACTAGTAAACATAAGGCCCTGAGTTCAAACCTCAGTACCACCAAAAAAACCAACCAAACAAAAAAACCACTGCACACTGAGCTGAACTTTCTCCCTTCTCTAATGAATCCCTAATGCTAGAGAAATATAGCTAGAATATTTAACACCCAGCCTATAAATCACAGTTCTGAGGGAAAAATAAAATATTCTCAAATGAGGGGGAGAAGAACTTAAAAAATTACCTATATCATATTAGAGCAATTATGACTTGCAGACAGAGCAAAATCCAAAGAAGCTGACTGGAACTATGCAAAGATGTAGGAGCAAAAACAAACAAAATAACATTCTGTGCAAGGCATACACTATGTAAAAAGACAAAACAATAAACCTAGTAAATATAAATCATGCAACAAAGAGAATTCCTCACAACTGATTCACAGTATAAAACCATGTAAGCTCATAAAGTCAATCAAAAAGAACTTAATTAAGTGTAGCTCATGTCTATAATCCTAGCTACTTAGGATTAGCTACTGAGATCAGGAGGATTGCAATTCAATGCTAGCCCATGCAAATAGTTTGCAAGTCTCCATCTCCAAAATAACCAGAGCAAAATGGACTGGAGGTGTGGCTCAATCCATTGAGTGCCTGCTTTGTAATCATGAAGCTGAGCTCAAACCCCACTCCCACCAAAAAAAAAGAAAAAGAAAAAAACTCAATGAGATCATCTTTTCCTTGATATGGAAAAAATGAGCCAGGTGCCAGTGATCCTAGCTACTCAGGAGGCAGAGATCAGGAGGATCATGGTTTGAAGCCAGCCCAAGTAAATAGTTCCATGAGACCTTATCTTGAAAAACCTGTCACAAAAATAGGGCTGGTGGAATGGTTCAAGGTGTAGGCCCTGAGCTCAAGCCCCAGGACCACACACACAAAAAAAATGAGATGTGCAGACTGAAAGATAAAAATGCTCATTACCAACCAGGCATAAAGGTTAAGCATAGGACTCTGTGCTGGGGTTGAACCCATGGCCTTGTCCATGCTAGGCAAGTGCTCTCCCACCGAGCTACTGAGCTATATCTCCCAGTTTAAGGGTTCTTTAAATTGGCCACAGATTTCTCCAGAGATAATTAACTGCTAGAAGATATTAAGGCAAAGTCTACAAGACTCAAGAAAATAAATTATTATCTCAAAAATATTACACTCATCCAAAGTATATCCCAAGTCTAAAGTCAAAACGCAGATATTTTCAGGCTGGTGTAATGGCTCAAGTGGTAGAGTGCTTGCCTAGCAAGAGTGAGGCCCTGAGTTCAAACCCCAGTACTGCCAAAAAAAGAAAAGCAAAGCAAATACTTTCAAGCATGAAGGAACCCAGGAACAGCATTTATGAGGCCTTGCTGAAAAAAAAAACTTATATTAGGTAAAATCTGAACCAAAGTAAAGAGCTCAGCAATGGAGGTAGGATAAAAGAACTAAATAGTGAGCAATCATTCTATTTAAATACAGAATGACATCAAGCATGGTGGCTCACTTCTGTAATTCCAGCTACTGGAGAGGAAGAGATAGGGAGAATCACAGTCTGAGGCCAGCCTAGGTAAAAAGTTATCAAGCCCCCATCTCAATCAATAGGTCAGGTATGGTGCTGTGTGCCTGTGATCCCTGCTATGTGGGAAGCATAGAAAGGAGGAGCGGGCTCATGGTCAGAGGACAGCCCCAGGCAAAAACATCAGGCCCATATCCAAATAATAACTAAAAGCAAAAAAGAGCTGTAGGGGTATGGCTCAAGTGGTAGAGCACCTGCATGACAAGTTCAAGGTCCTGAGTTCAAACCCTCGTACTGCCCAAAAAATATGTCTATGTGTATATATATATATATGTATATTTCAATAGTTCACGCATATATATACACATGTACATATATATGTATATGCGTGAATATATATCTTCCATATATATATATATATATATATAATATATATATCACTATGTAGCCCAGGCTGGCCTTGAACTTAAGATCCTCCTACGGCTGCCTCCTGAGTGTGGGACTACAGGCACACCCCAGCCCTTCCTGTCTTCTCTGGCCCAAACAACTGGTTATCTTCTCTGTAGCAAGCACTACGATGACTGACTGACTACGCAAATACCTGATAGAATTGCAGAGGGTAAGCTAACTGAACGACTTCTGAGTATTAGCCCCTGGTCAGATGGAAAACTGTTTCCAGTATTATTTATAGTTGCACCTGACTGCAGTTCTGTGAGATGCTGGAGCATTCATACACCTCATCTGCCTTGGCAAGCTACCTTCGTGGTATGGCCATGAAGATATAACACTAGTAGTTAAAAGCACGTTTTTGTAATGAGTTTAATCCCCTAAAAGGAATGCCATTAAATCTCATTAGCTGAGACATCTACTTATTCTAATACCTCAGTGTTCATTCCTATTACCTGTATATCTTCTTAAAAGATAGAACTGTTTTTAATGCCTTCTAGTTTTCCATTGAGTGTACACTATTGAGTAAGTGTAAGAGTTTTATGTTAGCATGGAAGTCTTGCAATACTAAAGATACTTTGAATAGCAGTCATGATGGCAATTTCTATATAAAAGAGCCTTAAATTGAACATGGTTTTGAGCTCAAACTCCTCACCCTCACAAAAATGGCCATATTGAAATAAAAAGGTTGGCATATTACAAAGAAATGAAAAAGGACAAGGCCAGGGATATAGCTTAGTAGCAGTCCAGCATGTGCAAGGCCTTGGGTTCAGTTCTCAGCACCACACACACAAAAAGGGAAGAGACAGAAATAAAGAACTTTTTAGATGGTATAATATTAAGAATAATAGCATAATAACGTTTGTGTCAACACTGCTAACAGGAGAGAGACAAAGAGGAGAAGATAAGAAAAGCACAAAATACACCATGCAGGTATAGAGTTTGGCAGGCATGGAGGCTAAGGAAGAAAACTAGCTAAGGATTCAGCTGGAGAGATGGACTGAGAATAGCCTAGGAGAGTACTGAAGGCCAGGGTTAGGAACTAATGGGATGGTGAAAAACCCCTGTGGATTTTTTTTTTTTTTTGGTAGTACAGGGATTGAACCCATAGTTCTTGCTAGACTAGCACTGTAGCAAGTGAACTACACCCCCAGCCCTTTTGTTTACATTATTTTTTGAGATAGACTCTTGCTATCTTTGCCCAAGCTGGCCTCAAACTCACGATACTCCTCCAGAGTAACTGGGATCACAGGCATGCACCACCATAACTAGCTTACTTCTAGGATCTTTCAGAATACTCAGATTTCTTTGACAGGGGTTCCCTACAGTGTTTCATTTCACATCTTTATCTTTCCCAACATCTGCAAAAACCTACATAAATAAAAGTAATCAAATAATTATAGAAAACTGAAGAGAAATTTCTCTTTAACAGAATTCAGGTTTTGTCCCTAGTTTAAAGATGGGCTAGGAGACAAATGTTTAAAACTGAGTGTTGAAGAGTAAGAATTTGAAGGGTAAGTGTTTGTAGAGTAAGTCATCCCCAGTTATTACTGTGTTACCTTTTAGTTTGTCTTTGATGTTTTCTGATAAGTGTTTTGTGAGCTGAGGCATCTCTTCTGGGGAGTACTCAGTACCTGCCAGTTCTTCCTTGAGCACAGCATGGATGCAGTCTTTAACCATGGAGGGTCTGAACCTAGTTGAAACAATTTGAGAACATATAATTAGTCACTCCAAAACCCCACCTTTTACCTCAACTCTCCCCAGGTTTTTGTCTTTAGAACACTTAAGTTCTTCTATTTTGTACTTTTTTTCATTATGAAAGTAAAATAAACAAGAAAACGCATTCCTATCCACAGCCTGGACTGCTCCTAATCCTCAGGCCAACACGTATCCCATCTGGACGTCTATTACAACTCAAACTTAAGCTATTCCATATTGAGCTTCTGATATTCTCCTCTCCCCTAACCAGGTCCTCATGGAGTCTTCTCCATTGTATCAGTGATAACTCAATTCTTACAATTGATCCAGCCAAAAACCTTGGTATCCCATCACTTCCTATTTCCCTTCCTGGCACTTGTGACCATCTGATACAGACTGTGCTTCACCTATCTCCTTCTCATTTGCTGTCCTTCAGCCCTGCTAAACACAAGCTCCATTACTGTGATTAGTGTGTTGTGGGATGGGGGCACTGAGGACTAAACGCAGCACCTTGCACACGCAAGGCAAGTGCTCTACCACTTGAACTAAGCACCAAGTCTTGACTGAGATCTTTCCACATATGCCTCCGAGTAGCTGGAATTATAGAGGTGAACCACTACATCCAGCTTGTTTGTTCAGATGGGTGGGGGAGGGGAGGATTTGCCCACACTGGCCTCAAATGAACTACGAGCCTCCTCTGGATGATCTCTGTCTCACAAATTAAAATGTTTCAAATTTTGAGCTTATGATGCAGTTTACTATTTGGTAATAGTAGTGTCCCCTCATTACTTTTTAACAGTATTTTCTTTGCTCTCTTGCCTGCTCATTCTTACAGATGAACTTTAGAATCATCACATTTCCAAGACGTGAGGCTGAGGATATAGCTAAGTGTGCCTGCTTACTACGCCCCAGGCCTTGAGTTCAATTCCCAGCACCAAAAAAGAAAAGAAAATTTAAATCCAACATTTGGTCTATTGGGAATGCAGTCTAACATACCATATCTGGCTCTTCCTTTATGCTTTTTCAATTCTCCATAAACTGTTAAGGTTTTCTTAAAAAAAAAAATCACACATGAACTCATAGGATTAAACCTAGAGGATAAAAGAGTGTTGTTAATCTCGTTCTGTGCTGTTTTTACAGCACACAGCTGAATGACATCCCATGCATTTGCCAAGACAACTGAATGTCTGCTTTTGTGGAGTTTGTTGTTTGTTGTTTTGGTGGCACTGGGGTTTGAATTCCGGGCTGGAGCTGCTAGGCAGGCGCTCTATCACCTCCAGTCTTGAACATAACGTTGTTCTATGTCCACTTTACCATGGGAAAACTGCTGCATGAAACTGTCATCCTGGGTTCCGCAACTATACCCGCCAGGTGTCAGGTTCAACAACCTGCTTCCCAGCCACAGAGGAGAGGCTTTGGAATTTTTTCCCAATGTTTTTCTCTTGTGAAGATGAAGTTACGGACGCATCCTAAAGACCTAGGTGAGTGCCCTCTTCAAGCAAGATATTCGGATACTACGTGGGAAGAACTCTGCATACATATAGGTCCGGAGCCAGAAGCACAGGCAATCTGGCACAGGTGTGCACACGGTAACCCTCAAAACACCGCTGGTTTTCTGCCCGTCTCTATCCTATCCACTTCGTTCCCGCTGTGCGCACGTCCAGGGTGTCCTAGAGGTCAATCCTTCCCGCTGCGCCAGCCTAAGGACGCGCCACAACCTAACTCTCTGCAACCGCGGACCCACTCCTCTACTGCCCCCTGCAGGGGAAAAGTCGGAACAGCGGCGTCCCTCCCGCCGGCAGCCAGGCCCGCCCCTCCCCTCCGCCGGCCCCGCCCTCTTCCCACCCGGCCACGCCCTCGTCCCGACCCCGCCTTCTCCTCCCCTCCGCGCCTGCCCCACCCGCGCCCCGCGAGTTCCAGTCGGACGCCCAGACAAGTTCTGCTAGCTGGACTCAAAACGTCTTGAGATCGCCCTGCCCGCATCGCGTCCGCTACTCGCCTTTGCTGGAAAATGGGCCTCAGAATATAAGTGTTCTCTGGCTGCCCTGAGTTCTTCTCAGCCTCAGGCGGCCCGTCACCCACAGAGAACGGGGTGCCGAGAGAGAAGGACGCGCGGGTCGCCATGGCCAGGGCTTCTAGGCCAGGTGTATCTCGTGAGGAAGGCCTGACCCGTTGCAGTTGCGGCCCGCCGCAGAGGAGCCGTTGCCAGGGCAACAGGCCCGCCCTGGACCGTCACGTGACCTGCCGCACATTTTTATAGGCTCTCGTGGCCGAGCCACTCGCCCTGCACTGCGTCTGCGCAGTCGCTGCAGGGCGGGAACGGGCAGACGGGCGAGGGCACAGGCGCTCTACGCGGGATTGGTGATCCCTGTCGGGTTTACTCATTGCTTTACCACGCCTTATCTTTTATTAACCCTGAGACGATCCTAGGAAGTACAGTCGGAATCTGAGACTCATAGACGTTAGGGAACTTGACCCCGGATACCCAGCTAGGAACCAGCAGGGCCCAAATTCTTATCCAGGTTCCTTCAAAGTGGCGGTGGACCACATCCAGCCTTCCGTTTGTACGACTTGTGAGCTAACAACAGGATGTGTGAATGTGTGTGTGTGTATGTGGGTATATATATACATATATTGTTTGAGACAAGGTCTTGCTATGTGGCCTTGGTTTGCCTGAACCTCTAGCTCATCCTGCCTCAGCCTCCCATCATTGCACCCCGGTTTATATTTCTTAAATAATTGAAAAATCAAAATAAGAGTTACCATTTTGTGACACATCCAAAAATACAAGAATTTAAAATTTCAGAATCTATAAACTTAGCTGAAACACAATGCTCATTTACATCTTGTCTATGGCTGCTTTTGTGCTATATAGCCCAAAATGAGTAGTTGCAACAGGGATCATTTGGCCCTTAAAGACTAAAATAATATATGGCCCCTTTTAAAAGTTCCAAGAGCACTGTTCTATTCCCAAATGGCCAGCCTGCAATTCCCAGCCAGCTTGCTGGGCCTCACCCACACCTCCTCCAGTGGAAAAGGCAGAAAAGAGTAGTTTAGTTGCATTTCATGCATGTAAACCCTAATCCTGCCGCACATGCATCTGTAATTCCTGCATTCAGGAGACTGAGGTTGAGGCAGGAGAATCACGAGTTTAAGGTCAGCCTGGGGTACAGAGAGAGACCCTGTCTCAAAAAACAAAAGGGAAAAAAAAAAATCAGCCAGCCAGCTGCAGTCGTTGGTCCTGTTATAGAAGGCTGTGTCCTGACACAGAAAAAGGACGTACTCCAGTATCCATCCCCGCTTCCTTTGGTAACCTTCATCCTATTAGTTGTGTTACCAAGCTCCAAAACTCACTTCTCTAACATGAGAAAGGGATAGTATTTACCCATTAAACAGAGATGAAAAGTTTTAGCAGAAACTGACTATTAATAGCTCTTTAAGTTGAGATTTTTTTTCTGAGAACAGCACTACTTTTTCCAAACAATTTTTAATTTGAAACAATTTCAAACTTTCAGAAAAATTACAAGTACAGTACAAGAACTTTTTTTCCTAAACATTGTCCTTTTTGTTTGTTGTTTTTGGTGGGACTAGGGTTTGAACTCAGGACTTTGCACTTGCAAAATTTAAAGTCAGAGCTTTGTATTTGCAAAGTACATGCTCTACCACTTGAGCTACACCTTCAGTCCATTCTGATCTGGTTATTTTGGAGATGATGTCTTGCAAACTATTTGCCTGGGCTGACATCTGACCATAATCCTCCCCATTTTAGCCTCCCAAGTAACTAGGATTACAGGTGGAAGCCACCTGCGCCTCGCTGTAAACCATTTGATAATATATTGCTAAGCCCATCAGCCTAAATGCTTTCTTGTATTTCCAGTAAACAAGGACGTTCTCCTGCTGAAGACTGCAGATTAGGAATCAGCACTAATACATTAATACCATCTAATCTTCAGACCCACTGGGAGATCTCCATTTGTCCCAATTTTTTAGATAGGAAAAGGATCCAATTTGTGAGCATATGTTGCATTGAGTTGTCATATCTCTTTGCTCTCTTGTACCACATCATTGGACATTATGTCTGTAAGAAATGCCCTTTGGAAAATGAAAAAACGAGACCTATTGAAACTGTTCTAAGAATGGCAGAAGGGGGAATAAAGGAGAATGATTGAGAGTGTGAATTTAACTAAGATATAAGCACTTTTGTAAATGTCACAATGTACTCCAGAACAATAATAGGATAATAAAAAAATTTTTTTTTGTGGGACTGGGTTTGAACTCAGGGCTTCCTGCTCGCAAAGTAAAAAAAAAAAATTTAAATGCCTTTGTCCTCCAAACACCTGAGCTCCAAATAGAAAGCCAAAGGACAACCTATCCTGAAATGGGCCTATCTTTCTCTGAACAGGTTTATGAATAAGGAAACATCCTCTTCATTCCAGGGCTATTTTTATAAAGGGTCATACAAGGAAAGAGACAGATTTTCATCTTAAAATATGTTTACTTAACATCATAATGATGAACAGATTTTTATCAGTCCCTCTGCCCAGCACTCTGGCTAGAAGTCAAGATTTTGGTTTTGGGGATTAAAAAAAAACAGGAATGGGGCTGGGCATAGTGTTACATACCTGTAATCCCAGCTACTTGTGCATTCTGAAGTCTTTAAGAGTGGCTAGGCACAGGGGTGGAGGCAGCCTGGCTGCATAATGAGTTCAAGGCCAGCTTGGACTACATAAGGAGACCCTGTCTCCAAAAAAAGGGAGAGTAGGAAGAGGAAGAAGAAGGGGAAAAAAAGAAAAGTAGGAGGGGAGGAAGAGGAAAACAGGAAGGGAAGAGGAGGAATGAGATCTAGGAGTGCGAGCAGCCAGCTATACGAGCATCCACCTTACATGTGCACAATCTGAAGGAGAGGACAATCAGCCCAACTGAGGCAGGGGTTGGAGACTTTGTCCTTTGAAGTTCTGTCACGTTCTACAATAACATCAGTCTGAAGTTCCTAAAAGGACAGAGGCAAGAAAAAGTCAACTATCCCCTGTGAATTGTTTTGGTGCCAAGGACTGACCTATCACCATAGGGTCCTAGTAAGCCATCAAAGCAGGGCTGAGCCAGGGTGGGGACTGTGCATGTGATGCATGTGTGAGTGTGGATTCATCTGTGCATGCATGCCTCACATGTCCAAAACTAGATATAAATGATGCATGTATGTGTGTGTACATATGTGCATGTGTGTGTTTCTGGGTATCGAACCTGAGGCTTTGTGCACACTAAGCATGTGCTCTACCATTAGCTTCACCTCAGCCTCCACGTTATCTCTACATCCTCCCCTAATTGTCTGGGTGTGTCAGTGCTTTTCCCCTGCAGGAGAAGTGGCTATAGATCAGACATGTCCTAGCCATGACACTGAAGCTAAATCAGCCAAGTAGGAAATGTGAGACAAACAGGGAGTGTTTGTAGGGTACACTGTGTCTGAACTTTGAGACTCCATGTCTGCTCAAGAGGCAGCGCCTCCTGTTCCTGACAGCTCTATCTGTCCAGTTTCCCCACCATAGGCAGGCCTGCTGGGCCCTCAGTTCTGAAGAGGAAAGGGTGAGGTTGTGTTTAGAGGAACCTGACTGCTAGATTGACTGTAAGATGACAGAAACATATCCCCAAATCCTGGGAAGAGACAACTATGGTCCACTGACCTTGGACAGTGTGGGGTGGATCTAGGAGCCAAGGGACTGAGGAAGGGATACAAGAGCACCTGGATCCCCCACCCCTTTCTTGGCTTTGTCCACTCCATGGCTCGAAGACCTCTAACTCATTTCTTGCACCTGCTGTGCCCTATCTTTCCAGCTCTTCCCAAGCTGCTTCTGCCTGCTTCATCCTCTTCCTGCCCATCAGACTTTCCCATCAGCCTCTCCTTCATCCCACTTTTGACTCTTCTTTCCTAAAGTGGGAGAGCAGACAGTCCTCTGCTGTCCATGTTCTCCAGAAAAGCAGCTGTGGCCTCACAGTTGTACACCCTTATCAGCCTGGGCCTCCCCTCAGTGCCTCTGAATATGCTGCTCCCTGCTGGGAAACTCCCCCTCCACTCTCTGCTGGGCTAACCCTGGAAGGAATCTGCTCAGACACAACTGAAGCCTGCCTTAGCTCTTCCTAGTGTTCCTTATTCCTCTATACTCTTTTGTACCCTGTGTTGAACTCTTAACAGCCCTTATCATATGATGCTCAAATTATTGGCAAATGGATCATGAGCTCTTCAAGGTCAGGGTGTAGTAGGGAGGAGGGGGTGGCATGGCAGGAAACTTAAAGAAGCTGAATGCAAAAAGGGTCACATAGCACTGACGGTAAAGTAGCCAATAGAATTGTGTATAGCCATATATGGACTAAACTTTGTTCCTTGCTTTTGTAACCTGCTTAGAATGGTATATAAGGCAAGGCCTCTTTGTTCTGGGGCCCAGCCTTTAGATGTGAAACCTCTGAGTTGATGCTGGCACACTAATAAACATTGCTTCCTGAAAAAACCTCAGTGTCCTATTTCCCTGTTCTCTAGTATCCCACACGTCCTGGGGCTTGTCCAGGATTTGGAGATATTTTTTCACCTCCTTGTTGCTGGGATTTGGCATCCCCAGCTGGAGAGTGTCCTGCCAGACACCAGCAGACTTGTTGATCTGACAAAGGGACTCACCTCTCCTGGCACACCAGCGAGCAAGTCTCCATTGCACAAAGGAACCTGGAGAATTCTCAGGAACCAGTTGAGATCCCTGCCCATCAGACCCAGATTCAAATACTAGACCTGCTTTTAGGAGTCAGAAGGGGAGACTGATCACTTCCCAGAGACACCTGAGTAACCCTGTCTGGGGTGAAACTGTGTTTCTCAGGTTTAGTGGGGTGAAAATGTGTATGTATGCCAATTTGTTTACAGCATTGGGCAAAATTTAATTTGCTCCTGGAGTTCTAGCTCATCTTACGCATGCTTAAGTTGACATTTTTTTCTGGCATGCTTAATTTATAAAATGTGTGTGCATGCATGTGTGTGTGTGTGTGTGTGTGTGTGTGTGTAAACATCTTCAAAATGTTTCTTAAACTGCTGTCAAAAGGTTAATGTGATTTCAAGGTAACAAAAAAATGTTTATGTGTTTATGTTAAACATCTCTGTTATAAACTGCTTAAGCTTTTTATATATGAATATGTA